CTGGGGAATCGCAAAAAGAGGCTGGGGGCTCCTCCAGATGTGGCGCCCCCCTCGCACACGCTCCAGCTGTGCCCAAAATTTTACTGGCAGCGGTGGGATTCGAACCCACGCCCCCGAAGAGACTGGAGCCTTAATCCAGCGCCTTAGACCGCTCGGCCACGCTACCCTGGAGGGGGTGGGGCGGCGCCCCGACATGGGACCCAAAATTTGGGAATTCGGGCAAATTCATCCGTGGGGGGTAAAGGGGAAAGAGAGGGGAAGGGTCCCGCCGCTCCTCCTCACCCCCCGCGCCCCCTTAATTGGGGCAGGGTCCCCTCCTGCACACCCGTAATTTAGGAATTACCGCCCCCTTCCCCGCGCACCCCTGATTTTGGGTGTTATTTGGGGTCACGTCCCCCCCAGAGCTCCCGGAGCGGGAATAATTAACACAATTAACAGAATTAAGGGAATCCGCCTCATTCCAGCGGAACGAGGGGCCGCGCGGTCCTCAGGGTCCCCTCAAACCCCTCGATGGATCCAAGGACGGGAAAAGGCGAGGGACGTTCCCGGTGCCCTGCGGAGTCTCGGGGGTCCCCGGGGCTGTTCCCGGTCCCATTCCCGGTCCCATTCCCGGTCCCATTCCCGGTCCCATTCCCGGTCCCATTCCCGGTCCCATTCCCGCTCCCATTCCCGGTCCCATTCCCGGTCCCATTCCCGCTCCTATTCCCGGTCCCATTCCCGGCCCCATTCCCGCTCCCATTCCCGCTCCCATTCCCGCTCCCGCTCCTTTCTCCGTTCCTGCCTTTTCCTGCTCATCCAGGGGGAACCCGAGAGTGACCCCCCCTAAACCCGGGGGTGCAGCGGGATCGGGAAAAATCCTTTAATGTGTTTTTTCACGGGGGAAAAATCTTCCCCTGCAGCATCCGCACAAAAATCGCGGGGAAAGGAACGGAAAGCCCGGACCCCTCCCCGGGGATTGGGGCGCGCTCAGGGGCAGAGCCGCASGCGGACCCCCCGCCCCACCCAGAAAAAGGGGAAGACCCTGTGCCCCCCAAAAGCGGCGTCCGAGAAGGTGAAGGCGGGGGTCTCCTCCCCGGCCAGGTAAAACAGCACCCGCCCCCCGCCGTAATCCAGCTCCACCCGCACCCGCGCAGCGCTCCCGGTGCTCCCAGTGTCCATCCCAGTGCTCCCGGTGCTCCCGGTGCTCCCAGTG